AAAAAGCTCATGTTTATTTTTAATAGAATCAGCAGGGCACTACATTCTAGTTTTACTGCAACTGTATCACCAAAATGTATTATCACATTTTGGTGATTTTTATTTAGTTGGGAGGCATACACTGATGTTTTAGCACACATTTTTTTTTAAATGCCATAACATACAACAGTTGTTCCTTACGTAAGCTTAAATTGCTTAAACGGAGATAGGTTTGAGGAAATGTACTTCTTTATTCTCTTGTCTTACATACTCTGGCCAAATAAGCTTACCAGTTCAGTGTATTAAGAAAACAAGTTTACAGTCTACTTTGTTACTCTAAAAATGATCAGCAATATAAAAACTGGTACAAAGAATGCGGGTGGTGATCCTACAATTGGCAATAGACCTCAGTAGGTGTATTACATGCATTCTTCTGTGACAGGAAGCAGAGACGATTGTCAAAAGGAAATGGTATAGAAGAATCCAAACTCTGCCATCCTATCACCTGCATAGTCCCTTAACAGTGCTCAGAAGTATAACTCATTCCTCTTTTCTTCCCACTCAAGTTCAGAATCCTGTGTCAGGCTCTAAATGTCACCAACAATCCCAAGCAGAACATCATTATTTAGCCCTATGTGTTATCTCAGTACAACATTGTACCACAAATAGGAAACATTTTAAGAAACAGCTATGAAACTGAAAAAAAAAAAAAAAAAAAGCCAAGAGGTTTTTTAGGAGGTAGACACCATCCTAACTCTCCCACACAAGCTTCCATTAAAGAACCTTTCTGTGGGAAAAGAGACTGGAAAGATCCTAAACAACAAAAAAAAAGGCACCAGTTCCCCTGAAACAGAAGGGTCTTTAAAATGGAATGAAATTCCTACTCAGGTGAGTTCTAAAACCATTTTCAGAAAAATACAGGACAGGAATATTTGTGAACAATCCATGACACTAGGACTTTAATACTTTATTTAAAATGATGTTCATGCCCTCTAGGTTGGCTTGTTCTGAGTTTTGTTTCTTAGAACGTTCATGGGTTTTTTCCTGCCCATATCCTCCCTCCAGGCTTACCAGGCTCACACTATGCATAAATTCCTGCTGGACAAATGAACACAAACCTATATGCACTGGCTTTAACCTTCTCTGTGAACAATTCCTACCACTTTGGGGGTATGGGGGTGACACGACAGATGAGGACACGCAAGAGGCAAATTGTAACCGTGAGGAAATTTGTGAGAGGGAGATCAAGAACACTACCCATGGAGTTCCTCCTGCAGAGAGATTCAAACACACTGGGAAAGTGAGCAACCAGCACCTCAGTTCTGGCAGCATGCCAGGTAGCTTTTGCTTACTTCTGATCTTAGTTTAAAACCGAGTGGGATGTGTCACAACAGAACTGTCTCTCTCCTGGCAATCTCTACACAACAGAGATGCTTTTCTAACCATAGGACACATTTAGTTGCAAGAACTCTACAGAATTAGTACTGGGAAGGGGCTTAGGTAGCACTTGACTCAGTTAGGGACTGAGAAGGATTAAATGACTTACAGTCTCACAGTGGGCAGCACTGTCCATACTAGGAGCAGAAGCTAATTAAAATCACCTGAGGTAAACACCCCTAATCATTGTGCTTACTTACATATTTGTTTTGAGGTGCTGGGGATGGAACCCAGGTCCTCACACATGCTAGGCAAGTACTCTACCACTGAGCTGTATCCCCAGTCCTTAAAGAAATGTATTTTTTTAAAGACAAGATTTCCCATCCTTCAGGACTAATGACTAATATCTCCTTAAGGACCGATAACCCTAAGTGTTCTGATTAGGACAGTAGGCACATGACTGAGTATACATTATTTTAAGATCATTCACCTATTAAATGGAAGTACATTAAATTCACCTATTAAATGGAGTACACAGTACTCATGTACTATGTTTGAATTTCTACCTCTGATGTATTATGAGTATAAAATTTGAGTAATTTTATTGATGTTTATTCAGATTTAATAATAAATTAGAAAGACATAAGAATCTGATACTTAAAGATGGTGCATAAGAACTATCTTGCAAAAATAGGCAATTTACACTGAAACTTCTGATACTCTTAAGTTACAAAGACTTACTGCAAAGAATAAGGAAACTGAATTGCTACTATACCTGGTATTAGCTAAACATCTGTATCCATAAAATATTTTTTTTTAAAAAAAACTAAATGAAACAGATACAGTAACCAAGATTTGAAGAAAATAATTTGCAGTATAAGCAGCTACAAACAGTGCTCTCCATGGTGAGAAATAAAGTCCACACGTAAGTATCCTAGCAAAATTTTCACCACACACACGCCTAACAGATGGATTCTAAAAAACAGCTAAGCATTCCACAGGCCAAATGCTCAAAATTTAGTAATAAAAGATAATTAACATTCCTGTATACAGTGTATGTGATATTGCATAAATAAGAATGACAGCAATAATTTGGGGCCGAAGACCCCTCTCTGCTCTCACTGTTCTTCTCACTAAACCTCCTTTTCCCAAACATGTCCACATCATCTACCTCCCCTACACTGCACCCAAATCGCAACCACCCAAAACCAGAGGTGTCTGCTGCAGCCCAAAACACTTCACTAATAATATCCGGTTTGCCATTCCAGGAAATCCCAGAGTGGTTTTTAAGCCTCTGCCCACAGCTTATAAAGAAAGGCGAGAGAAGGACTAATCGATACCAGCACACCAGCTGTGACCTGGCATATAAAAAAATCAAGAAAATAAACCCAATCCATAATCTGTATAATTCAGCACTTGGAAGAAGAAACCTCTGGGATCTACTCCAAGTGGGACAGTGTTGCCTGGATGGTCTGTGTTTCCTGCACTGAGTGTTAAGGCTGGTGAGGAGGTGATGCCCTCTGGTTCCTGGGACTGATGTCTTTTCCCTAGCAGGGGTCAATCTAGACCCCAAAAAGAGGAAAGTAAAGAGAAGGAAAACAACCAGTATCTACCACTTTCTAGTAGAGCTCTTGGCAAAGCCTCTCTTTATACTTTGAAGATGGGGAACGCTGGAAACCTGTCTCAAAGATGGGTCCAGGACAAACTATTGTCTTGCTAATCAGTCACAGACCAGAAAGGAAGCTCATGTAAAATATGGCAATGACTTTGTTTAATCATGCAGTCCTTTCCAGTGGTCTCCAAAGTCCTATCCCCAGGCGAAGTTGGAAAAAAAAGACAAATCCCCAATGACTATGACTCCCTAGAAAGGCTTTCCAGATTTTTTTAATTACAGGAAAATGAATTTAGAACATAAGCAGATACCTCCACATCATATAAATCACGAGATCTGTCCCCAATAAAAACAAATACGCCAGTCTGCAGGACAGGGTACTATAGGAAATAAAGATTGTCAGTAGAATTCATAATGCTTTCTCTCTGTTAGACTTCTGGGAGGTTATAATTGCATTTGGCCGCTTCAGGCTTGTCAGAGAGCCTGGTTTCTTAATAGTCTCAACCCTAAAAGGAGTAACTGTCAAGGGGCGACCCAGCTGAAATCAAACAACAAAAACGGGAACTGTAATCTGCCAGAAAAAGGAGGAGGGAAAGGAAGGGAGCCTCCTGTATTCATCAGTCAACATTAATGTCCTTTGTTGTTCACCTTTGCACAGAACAGCGAGCGCTATCCTGTTCCTTTTCCTCGGAAAAGGGTAGTCGGGGTAGTCCTTTCCTAAAAGCTGGCTCCCAGCATGGAAGACCCAGGCTTTCTGACTGTCCTCCCTATTATCACTTTACAGTCGGCCTCCACGACCACCACTGCGTTCATCCCTTGGTCGACAGCGGCAGCCAGAAGTAAAAAACATTGCCGAAATATCGGTTCCCCTCCAAAGACCAAAGAGCGGAGCCGCACAGATGTTGAAATTCACCAACCCCCCCACCCCACCCCACAACACACACTCCATGCACCCGGGATGCAAGGGAGGAAGCAGTCTGTCTGTCAGAGGGGCTCTTTGGGGGACCGTGCCACATTCCGCACTCCGGGAATGCTGACCCCAGGCAGAGGGATTTCTGCGTCTCCTGGCTGTTTTGGGGATGTTGCTGTCTTCCCTTGCCACCCTGAGAAATCGCTGCAGCCCACAGCCGGCTCCCTGCTGCTTTGGGCAAGAAGGGGATGGAGCGAGAGGAACCCTGTTCGCTTCCTCTTCCAACTTGACACACAACACGCCCCGTCGCCACTCCAAACTCCACAAGCTCAGCCCGAGAGGGCTGGCGAGCCGGCGGTCCGGCGCTCCTGGAGCCGGATCAAGGCGCGCCGAGCCCGTGTAGGGAGTCGGGGGGCGGGGATAGACCCCCCCCCGCACGCACCCCTCCGCGGGAAGCCGGTTCTGCAAAGCCCCGAACCCACTGCGCGAAGCCAAGATCTGGCATTTCCAGTCGGGCGGAGCGAGAGGGGAGCAGGAGCAAGGACGCGAAATGCGCACCCGCTCTGGCCAGAGCGGAATAAAAGTTCGCCCGCGAAGACTCACCCACGCCGTATTTCTCGTGCTCCGTAGGTATCCACATGGCTAAGAGGGGATCCAGGGTCTTCAGGCTTTGTAATCCCTGCGCCCCCCAACCAGTTCACAACAATGCACAGCTCCCGAGTAGCGACTGCAGCGCCGGAGCCCCCGCGGTACCGCGCGGGCTGCGGGCGCTGGGCAAGGTATGCGCTGGAGGCTCTGAAGCCGGCGTTGACACCGCACCACCGAGGCTGCGCCGCTCGCCGCTCTCCTCGCGGCGACAGCTCACAGTCCACCGACGCGCTCCCGGGGACCCGGCGGCGCAGTCATTGTTCTGATTCACTGAACTAAGCGAACACGCCGGGGCACTCTCGGGCGCACCCCCGCCCGTCAGCGCCTCGTCCAGCCCTCCCTTCCCAGAGCCCACAGAGCAGGCTGGGAATTGTAGTTCTTAAGATCTCGGTGCCGGAAGGGGGCGTGGTGCTATTGGTAAAGGGGCGGGGATAAGAGTACCCTCGCGGTCTTCTATTGGTCCAGAAACTGACGGCGCGGCGTGGGCGTGAAGACCCACCCCGTCGTTGAGGCGTTCGCCTCCAGTCACTTTCCTATTGGTGCCGCCCCGCCCCGCGCTCCTCCCTTTTCTACTGAGCCGGGTAATGGCTGCTTCCAAGACCCAGGGGGTTGTTGCCCGACTGGAAGAACATGATGGTGAGATCCGCAGCAAAGTCGGGGATGTCGGTTGTGAGGGTGAGTACGTGCCCCTCTCGTGTGGGTGATTTGTCTTCCTTTCTTCTTGACCCGAATGCAGCTGACCACCAGTCAGTCGGACCCTGGTAACCTTCAGCCACCTGGGTGAGAGGGGACCTGGACGGGACCCACTGGAGTGGGGTGGGTCTGCAGGCTGAGACTTGACTGAGATTGTCAGGACAGGGTGGAGAAAATGGGATGAAGGACCTCCCCACAGCTCCCTGGGCGTCGGTCTTCCTGTTTGGAGCTCCAAGTTTTGCACTTGCGCGGAGGGGTGCCGGTCAGGTGAGGTTCGCACGTGTAGGATTATAACACGGATTAGCAGCTCTTTTTTTTCCTCGCCAGTACCCTGTCCCGTCTCGGTTTGCGGGTTTTGGCCTAGAAGTGTTTGGTTTGGGGCAGATTTCCAGTCATTCTAGCCAGTAACTGATTGGATAATCTGTAAAGGGAAAAGAAGGGGTGCGCGCGCCTCGCAACCATCCGGAGGCCAATTGAATGCCCTGTCGATTCCAGAATTGAATGTGGAGTCTGAGACATCTTCTCACATCCTGGCTTCTTAGAGAAAGAGAAAAAAAAGTGATAAATTGAAATCTTGGCTTCATAGAACATTTATCAAAGCTACATTGTCTGTACCTGACTTTCATGCCTCATCCACTGTAAGGAAACAAAGTCAAACTTTCGAAAGCCGCAGGTGGATTGTCTGTGGGATTCCTTTTATTTTTAGTCCTCCCCAACCCCACCCCTCTTTTTGCCTTGGTGTGTAATTTAGAACGGACAAGTTCTCGTTCTCTGCTGGATATGATCTGGGTCTTAAATTTTATTCTCAGACTTCTGTTAAAGCTTTTTTTTCCTGCTTTTGCTTTTGCCTTCACACCTAAACGGACATTCAGTCCAAAGTGTTTATGTCAGCAGCACATAATGTAGCGAAGTTTCTTCTCACCTTCCATGAGTGGGTCTCCCTAGCTCTGAAATTATTTCAGTACCACTACCAAAGAAATCTCTGGTAGGCTTCTGAGTTGAATATTGAGTTATACCTATTCCTTAAACAATGTATCCTTGGATTAGCCATAGTTCAGCTCTTATCTGATGATAGCCGACTATTAAAATGCTCCGGATTCTCAGAGCTCCAGAGGGCTACCATTTTAAAAGCTAAAGATAGAATCTTTGGTGAATTTATCTTACAGATTTATTCATAAAAAAGAAAATTGGATATGCTTTTCAGAAGTATGGAACATTTGAAAAGCACTAGTAATCTAAAAATTAAAAATGTTTTCACTATAAACATTTCATTCAGAAGTGTGTAATGTACAAAAATTAAAGTTCCTCCACCACACAGTCTCCTTCAAAGTTATAAGTAGTAACAGTTTGGTTTGTATATTTATGACTTAGTTCCGTATGACCACATATCTGTGTGATTTTTATTTTTTTAACAAAAAGAGACAATTCTGGCTCGCTCATAGACCTGAAACTTCTTTCTCTTGATCTTTCATAGACACTCTTTGATGTATCAGTACATTTTTTGTTTTATTTGTTAAGGACTGCACTCATCATATTTCATGATATTGAAGTTCTATACTTTAACCATTACCCTATTAACAAACATACTGTGTGGCTTTACTTTTTTAATAGTGATACAGTGAGTGGCTTTATATACATATACATATATAGCCTGGGTGTCTTTCTTGAGGAATTTCTGGGTCAAATGTTATGTGTGTTTAAACTTTATATAGATGCTGGATTTCTCTCTTGAAAGATATTCGGCAGACATTCTTACTAGTAATATCTGAGTGCCCTTTTCTATGTATCTTCACCAATTATCAGGAAGTCATTTATTCAGGGCCAATGTTTAAATGACTATTGGACCAAATTAGGTGAGCCTAATTTTTCTTCTGTAATCAAAGTAATGTCATATCTGTCTTGCTGGGATGCTGAAATGATTTGGTGAGATGATAGGTATAGTAGCCTAGTCTTTAATAAATGGTGAGTGTTATTTCATTCATTAGTAAATGCACATTTTTGGCATCTGTGTCAATTTTATTGTTTTCAATAAAAGTACCGAGCAGTGGTGAACTTGCAGTGTCTGTAACATAAAAGAATGCCTCACCCTGGTTCAGAACTGCCCAATATTCCTATTGAGATATAGCAGTCAATGGAAGAACTTAATGGTTGATCTTTATGTCATTTTTATAAGGTGAAGTCATCATTTAAAAATTCCCTTAATGGTAACCTATGCATTAAAATTTACCAAAATTCCTTTCAAAGCTAGCAAAGTGTGATACATATTTTAGGTGGAAATAATTATATTTGAAGTATAATAGTTTTTGTTAGGCAGCCACTTAGGTCATTAAATATTTCTTTCTCTGTAAAATCATGCACCTTTTTAATTTCTTGAAAACTGTTTCTTTAAAGAGGTTTCCTTGTAGCTCTAATTAAAATGTCAATCTGTGTGTTTAGTATCCTGGTACAAAGGGGCCTGAGGAGTCCTTTAATAGAAATCCTTTCAGTTCTACAAAATCTCTGCTAGAAGGAGTCACTGGATGGTGTTCAGGGAAGTACAGCACCTTCACTGAGACCATTGTTTTGCCAGACTTCCTACCGTGCCATCCCTCTTCCAGGAAGGTCCCTGAATTGATTGGATCTCAGGCCAAGTCTTGAACAACACTACTTTCCATACATTTCAGCAGAAGCTAGGATTTCATATTGATTCCTAAAAGTAAGAATAGGTAATAAATAGATTCAGCATCTCTCATATTTGGGCATGTGAGACCGACTGATACTTATTCTTGTGCTATTTTTAGTTAGAAGTCAGTACGGTAACACATCTGTAGTTTAGACAGACAATAAGTCCAGTCTTGTATAATTGGCACAGCAGTGGAAAGATGATTTGATAATACTTTTAGGAGGATTTCCTGACTGGGGTGATTTCTTCTGACATTGTTAACCTGTACAATGTGCATTCTTAGAAAATCAATGGTTTTTTCCCTCCAAATGAATGCTCAGTAGATGATGATTATGACAGTGCTCTGATTGTATTGTTTGTCCTATGGAGACCTTATCTCATTTTGATGTCTCTGGAATACAAGGGGGAGAATACAAGGTGATAGGAACTTCTCACTCTTATATTTCCTATTTCAATAAATATTAAGTCTAAGCTAGAGACCTACGAGCATCTTGGATTCCTGTTTTGTCCTCAGGTCCTGAATTTGATCAGTTACCAAAACTTATTTTTTCTGTGCTGAAATATCGTTTGAATCTGCTCCTTCTCTTCCTCTCTGTAACCATTGTTTTAATTCAGTTTCTGACCCTCACTGTCACTAATGAATTGCCTATCTGTGTCTCTCAACCCTTAGACTGTGCTTTTGAGAACCAAAAACCTTGTCATTTTTGTTTATGTCTCCCTGGGTCTATTCCTATCACATCATCAGTGTTTAATATATGTTTGACCAGAACAGCAGTCTTCCTTGGAAAATTGTAATATCTTCCTGTTGATCTCTCTGGCTCATAATTTTACCTCTTTTAATATACATTCTAAAACAGATGTATTCATGGATCTCTACTTATAACTCTGCTACATGTACAACTAGGTCCCAAATTCTCTGTGTGGCATTTAATCTACTTTTCCAGTCTCATCTTCAGTCTTCCTGCTTCCCTTCCTGTGTCTTCATGATGTACTTCGCATATAACACTATAGCTATTTGTGGCAACATTATCTCCTGTACTGGTCTGTGAACTTACTGAAGTTGTCTTATTTTACTTTTTATAACACGCTGTTTATCAGAGCTGCAGGTGTAAAATTCTATAACAGTTTAATGCCTAGAATCTGTTTAAAATTTATCCAAAGTATTTAGAATGGCAAAGTATTAGAATGGCAGCTATTTTAAGTAAAGGAACTGAAACCAAACAAAAAACTGAGTAAATGTCTTGTGCTTATGAAAAGTATGCATACCAACTAGAAATGAAAAATAGCAGAAAGATGATAGTCCGTCAGAAGTAATCATTGTCAGCATTTTAGCATAGTTTTCAGTCTCTTTTTTTTTAAGTGAAGTTTTAATGTTGTTTAGATAAGGATTATATATTTTTTAAGAATACTTATGTCTGGCATTTATAACTTGGAACCCATAAACAATGAACTACCATATGATCCTTGAAATCTGTTTTCCATCATCTATATGGCTGTTATCCAGTTTTCTACAGGCTGTCATCCTATTTCTATAGACAGCATTAAGTCCAGTCCTACATATTTGGCACAACAGTTGAAAGATGACTAGATCCTGTTTTGGAAAAACTATATTTAAATTTTACTTCTGGCATTTTAATAGGTGTTTAACATAGGTTTATTGTATGTGCTGCCACATTAGTGAAAATACACATACAATACCTGCCTTGCAGAATTGTGATCATTTCATTGAATTATGTTTATGAAAGCAAGGCATGTTTCCTATTATAAAATTGGACCTCAATAAGTATTAGTTGCTTTCATTATAAAGATATGCTTAATTGAGCTATAAAGCTGCCTACTCTCTGATACTGCCTTCACTTAAGAACCAATCTAAATTGTGTTGTAACCCAGGGAAGCTTAGGAATGTGTTGGTGGTAACTGCTTTTGCTGCCAATGCTCTCCTGGAATTTGGGGGCTGTCTGGGTATCTGTTGGTGCAATGTACTAGTATTGCAAGTATGTGCTCTGGAGGTCCTTTGTATCACCTCCTATTTTCTTTCCCATACCTACACAGTGCTGCCTTCTTCCCACCCAGTTTCCCACCCACACACATTCACTGAAACTGAGTTATCAAGATGGTCTTGCAAGGTATAGGCCAAAAGATGTCATGGAAGAAAAAGAATGATAGAAGTCAAGTTTTGTAGGTCTTGTTTGGTATAAGGTTTGAAAGAGACTTCTACAGAAAATTCTTCTATTTTCCCATAACAAATACACAAGACCAAAACTTACAGGATGTTCAGAGAGGAGCTCTTATAAAAGGGGATATTATAATAATGATTATG